CCGGCGGCGTTCCTCGGGCGGCCTCGGGGGCTGGTCCGGGCCCAGGACACGTCCTCGGTTCGTCACTTCGAATTTAATTCAGCCTTTTTGCGGACCAGCCCGTTCTTAATTTAAAGGAAAAATTACATGTTCAGGGGCTTCTTTGAAGGTGGAGGTGCCTCGTCGCTGCGCTCCGGCGGGAGTTGCATTTTAACTAGTGATATGGTCTGTGAAATATTAGGTGGAAGGAAGCAAAAGGGAAGGAATTGGATTGCGTTTCTCCTCTGCCTCCGTGTGCGATTGATTGCCAGGTGATACCATAAGCCAATACTTTGCACAACTGATGTAATCTGGTGGTTTCAGATGTGAATGCAAACAGTGGATTAAAAACGTAATGTAGAACAGTTGCTATGGTGCCAGTGTTTAATCGATGTGCCTAACGGGGCGAGCAGAATTGTGTGTTTAAAGTTTAATTTATTGTTGGTAGGCTACCTGTGAGAGTATTGCGAAACCCCGGATTAAATTCCTGGCAATCCATGATCTGTTTGGGGTTTTTTTATTTTTTGAAATTTTTCTTTCTTTCCTTGAGTATACTTTCATGTGTGGTAACTCAGCCTAGCAATAAACATTTATCTTGAATTATCCCCGTGAAAGGTATGTAATAGAGGCACAGTGGGATTTAAAGGTAAAGCCAAAGGAAACAAGCGATCAATCTCTTGTTGTGTAATTGAAATGTATCCAGCCTGGAGAGCCCAAAGGCCAGGCTGAATGTCTGCATCGGAGTGTGTGTATTTTAGGGGTAGGGATGGATGCAGAGTATTACAAACTTAAGCCTGCTGTCGCTTACGTTGTTATTTGTCCTGTTTTCCAGAGGGTGAAGAAAGAAAAGGTTGTGCTAAGAACTATTTAAGAATATATCTGCTAATTATGGATGCTTCAGTTCTTGTGTTCAAGTCTCATATCTTAGGTTTGATCTTTGGGAGCTCTGATCTTTGGTAGCTGTGATGATCTAGCTCTGTTGGCTTTCCAGAGACACATGGCATTCCTTGGGTAGAGCAAGGGAGGGCCCCACTTGGATGGTCTGTGTGCTCTGGTTCTCCAGGTCTGTTGGTCTTACAGTTTTTCACCATAAATAGAAGATATGCAATTTGTTCACTTTGGATTGTCCAATGTACGCATTAAAGAGAATCTTCAGTATTTTGACTTGGGAACTGGGAAAGACTTGAGAGGTTCTTGCATTTTGTTTTTATTGCTCCGGATACAGAGGAGGGCTTGTGCACCTCTACGTTGGGGTCTCTGAAGGGGAAAAGATGATCAGAAAGCAGTCCAGCCCAGCTGCTCCGCCACTACAGCGGCCTAGTCCTGGTAGTCTTTGAGACTGAACGACACTTTAGAGCCGTCATAGTACTGGCTGCTCGGTCTCTCTGAGATCTTGGGAGCGCGGCATGGCGAAAGAGATCCAGGTCTCTAGGCCCGCGTAGGGTGATACTGAACCGAGTGATAGGTGGCCCAGCGTCCGTGCTCACCAGCCCAGGAGGGGCTGGGATCTTGAGAGAGGGGCACTGCCACCGCTCAGCTGCCTTCTGATGCCCTGGCTTGGATGTGGACTCATCCCTGTCCTTCCAGGCACAAAGCACTCTCCACAGAGAGACCGAGGTGGTGAGAAGGTGGCAGCTTGCCGAGGGCTGGAGCAGCAGTGTACCAGGATTTGTGCAGACAGAGGAGTGTGCTTGCTGGCCTTCAGCGCAAACTCTTTGGTTTTCTGCAGAGTCCATTCGTTTTTTGTTTAGCTTCAGCAAATCGGTCACGTAGAGTAGATCTGATGATTCAGAGTAGTAGCTATATTTAGAGGGGGAAAAAAAAAGAAGTATTCTTATTGATGCAGGCTGCACTTGAGACAAACTGCTGCCGTGTGGTGGCAGCCAGCAAAAACATACTACAGTAACATGTGCTTGCTGGCCTGTAAGTACCACACAGGTAATGAATCTTGCCCTGTACAAGTTTGCTATTGAATTTACGAATATGTTTGTGGGACAAGCATTGTTGGCTGTTGATTTAGGTAAATATTCTGGAGTCACTGTTGTGTTCCAATAAATGGTCCCTGAAACAGACAGGGCAGTTCCTAATCTTGCTGTCGTGGATTAGTTTTCCTGAGTGGTTTGTGAGTTCTGTTGGTGTAAAGGCCAAATGGAGAACTGCTTTTTGAAACAGGCTTTTTTGTTCATGACAGATTAGTGATTGGCCAGGCAACATTTTAACAGACACATGGCTGAATGCCAACTGAGAAAATGGTTCAAAAGAGGAGAGGAGACTTATTTTTTGACACCTGAAATGGAAGCCATTTAGCTTTCTGTGTTGGTGTTCCAAGTGATGAATTTGATATGCAGTCCCTCTGATGGTGGGAGCATTAAAGAAGAGGGAAGTGCCATAGAATAATGGATGGAAATGTGGATACTGAAGGAGGCTTTGGCTGAAAACACGCATAAGGAGTCTTCATCAGAGCAAAGATTTGCACCTAAGTTAAGAACGTGTATGCTAACTTCCGAGCCAGTGAAAATACTATGGAAACAGTGTCTTGTCTTAAAAATATGTTTTGGTGCTAGCAGTTTCTGCTAACATAAGCAGACTGAAGGAAGCACATTTTTATGTTAGATACCAGACAATAATGGCTGAGAGCTGGCAGTGAAGACCGTGGGAAAATTCCTTTGTGTGGGTAGTCTGCTAAGTGATATGCCTGGAGCCGGAGGCTGGACTAGATGGCCTCCGGAGGTGCCTCCCAACCCGAGTTATGCTGGCAGCTCTTTGCCAAAGCTGGCAGAAACTCCGTTGCTGCTCTATCTGTCACCCATTTGGAGGCGGCAGAAGGAAGGGGAGCATGGGGCACGCAGTGGGGCAGTGGCAGGTGTGCGGTGGTGCAGGAGTTCTGGGACTCTTGGCGACGTGCAGTGTGCTCGTGTACTCCCAGCAGGGAAGCTAGGTCTGCGCCTGCTGGAGTCAGCCAGGAACCTGCTCCAGGCGTTGTGTGGCGTGACACTGACCTGCGAAGGTTGGAGTTTGTTACCTGAGGAGGCTGTTGTGAGAGTCAGCCCTGGGGGAGACCTTCGGGGCTGGGCTCTGTGGGACCCTGCACCTTGATGGTGGTGCGCTGGTTGATGTAAGCTGCTGCATCTTATGTAGAAGCCACTTGTTTCTGATACAAATCTTCCGGAGGCAATAAGATGTTGCTTTTGCATAAACTAATGAGCATTTTTCTGACAAAATGCTGGGCATGGTTCATCAAGACAGCACTCTGTGCAGCAAACTATCGGGTAGGTCTTTATAACTTAAGCTGTGATAATTTGTCTGTCAAGGTGATTATATGCATCTGTATTGATTTTGTTCCAGATTTCTTGCAACCTACAATAGCCTTACGGACAAACACCTGGTTGGATATTTCAGCAATACCAGGATAAGACGACATCTTCAGAGATCAGGACTGGTGAGATCAAAAAGTTTCCTTCTCTGAGAAAAAAAAAACACGTTTCTGCTAACATTGTGCAGGTCAAACCACTGATGGTTCTGTTATTTATTTGTTAGAGGTATGTGTTGGTACAGGTAAGAGTTTGACCAGCTAGCCAAACGCGTTAAATTACGCTGTGCCAGATCAAAGCCGCGTGATCACACTGTGACTGAGGATGGCTTTGTGCAATCAAAGCATTTCCCGCTGCATTGTTATCTACCGCTGCTCAGCTGGAGATCGCCGGGATAGGGCTGTCTGTGGTGCTTAAGGCTGTGCTGCTGGGGTCAGAGTGACAGAAAGGCAGGTGAAACTGAGTGTGGTACTTAGCGCTGTGTGCCAGGTCGTTTTCAGTTTGAAGACACTAGTGGCAGCTGAGGAAATACTGTAGCTGGCACCGAGCACGTTTCAGGAATCAAGGTCCAAGGGCCACCTGGGGCTGTGAGGATGCTGGCTTGTGGGCTGCTGGGGGAGGATGACTGCACACTAAAGTGATGTGCTCACAGTCAGTTTGGAGGCCATACTCCATAGAATATCACGCTTACGCTTCCACTGCAGCTGCTGTAATGCAACAGTTGTGATGCTTATCTGCATGAACCTGGGAACAGTGTCTGGCATGGATTGATGGTGGATGTAAGGGCTTGGCTTAGCGCTGTGCTGCTGCTCAGCAGTGCCGTTTCAGTTAGTTACTACATGTGGCACTGTATTACTGCACAATTTTGGTGATGTGGGAACATTTGTCAATCTGCTTGTATTTCACATCCAGGCAAAAGAAGATATTTCATGGAGAGGTTTTGATAAATTCAGAATGTTTTTATGGTTTTGCTCCGTATTTCTTTTTGCTCATTGGAGTTTGCCTCTGCAAAATCTTTCAGTTTGCAAATATACAGAATTATGTTGATTCTCTTATGTTTTTTAAACTGTGAAATCTAAGCATCTTTGACTCTACTAGTTGTTTAAATAGCTTCAGTGGTATTTTTCAAAAGTTTAATGGAAAATTGAAGGATTTGGTAAAGGTGAATGTGCTAAACATTTAAAAAAATATTTGTGCGCTCCGAGGTGTGACTCAGTTTAGCACAGGCAGGTGCAACCCTTGTGCAGTAGGAAAGCAAGTATTTAATTCCTCTCCACTGACTTGGGCAATGGCCCATGAAGACTAAGGCTGAGCCCTCAGCTGTTAGGAGATGTGACTGCTGCTTTCCTGCTCTCTTCATTTGGTTGATGGGGTCCATGGGGTCAAGGAAACCAGAGTTCTGTGCTGTGAAGGTGAGTTCCACACTGTGGCAGAAGCAGAGGCGGTAGCTAATTGGGAAGAGAAAGTAGTCTTTCTGGGAAACTGCACTCTGTTTAAAAACATACTTTATTCTGTCTTCTTTTCAGTTACATTGTATTTGTTTATGGCAGATCTCAAGGAGTGGAAGGATAATATCTGAGAAAGAATACCGGCTAAATGTTCTGAGGAGGGATCACCAAAGATACGTACAGGAGTGCCTGGCTCGCGCCATATTTCATAAGGTCCTTGACATGGAGGTATGCCTTTACTAATGATGTGTAAGCCTTTTCAGGTACTTCCCTACTGACGGCCAGTGGCTGTTGACTCGTACCGGACTGTTTTCCATAGCTGTGCCCTCATGGTCCCCTGAAAGGCTCTCCTGCTGGGAAGAAGGATAGAATCTTTGTGCTTGGTGTCCCCAACATGAAACCTCCACTTTCCTCTAGTCGTTAAACCATACTGTTGTTAGAATGTACACTGTCCTGGCTCCCTGCTCTTCAGCAGCTGTCAGATTATGGGATGATACTCACAGGGTTAGTTTGATTAAAAAAATTCTGATCAAAACAAAGTAGTTTGAACACGATTATATATCTTACCCGAGTACAAAATTTGGGGACATTCCTGTTACCTATCAGAATGGAGTTGGTCCCTACAGCTTTATAAATGCTCAGCTGTTCCCTTGCCCATGTTGATATACACAAGTGTAATGCAAATGGGTTGAATCAATAGCGGTTTTGTAATAGGGCTCAATGAAGGTAAAGACCAGGGAGCAGGCAAGTGATCAGCGGAACAGAAGCAAGTGTTCTTACATTCATTGGCATCTTATAATGTCCGTTAATGAGATTTCTCTTTCTCTTCCATTAATAGCGTCATCATCAGCTAGAAATAAAAAGGAAACTTGAAAATTCTGTGAGGAAGGAGAGGGTGCAGAAAATCAAGGTAAGGCTTGAGTGCTACTGAGTACTGATGGGACATGGCAGTTTTTCCCTCCATTAGGGAACAGCCATGTATCAGGCCAGATTCATTGAGCCAAGTGTTCTGTCCCTGAAGTTTATGGAAAATGTACAAGAAACAGGCAAGTAGAGGGTGATTGTGCCCCAGGTTACATCTCCTGCTTCCTCTATCCAGGAGTTCAGGAACTTCCATTCATGCACCTAATTCCTTTTGAAACTACTTATTATTTTGGTTCTGCAGTATTCTTGGTTGTGGAATTTAGTTATGAGTTGCATGAAATGGTACTTGCTTGCATTTCTGCACAATAATTAATGTATCCGCTGTCTGATAATGCTGTTTGATGCTCCATTGTTCTCATTATGAAAAATATTAATAACTGTTCTCCTTTTCCAAGGCATTTGTGGTTTTACATACCTTTTTCATATTCCTTCCCAGTTTTCCAAGCTGAAGACTGTCTGCTGAATCTTTCATACATGAGTCTGTCCAGGCTTCTCATTACCGTTGTCATCTTTTTACCTTTTCTAGTTCTACTATTTCTGTTTTGAAATGGGGAAGCAGAACAGGATGAATAATTCAAGATACGTGTTGCAGTTCTCCTAGTAATTCTAGACACTATCTGGTTTTGACTGCTGTGGAGTGCTGAGCTCGCACTTTCAGTCCTTTGCCTTGCCACATGATATTTAGCAGAACCAGTATGTAAGTAATGAGAAGAGGTTTTGGAAGTCGTCAGTGTCGTGTCATGTAGGTAGAGCTTGATTCTGTAGTTGCTAGAGTCATGGAAATTCCACAGAAGTCAATGGTTCTTCTCCCCATGAAGTCACATGGACTAATATGGGAAAAGTTGTTCTCAATTTGGCTGAAATAGACTCAACATCTTATTTCTTTATTAGGAGCCTGCATTCATCAAGAAGAATGCATTGAGAAGCTCTCTGCTTCTTTGAGCAGTTGAAAACCAATGTCAAATCTTTTTAATTTTGAATAATACATTTACGAGCAATTCATCAGGTAAAGAAAGGAGGAGATTTTAATGAAAAACACAGATCACTATGGTAATTCAAAGGCATTGTTTACTGACTGAGCTCCTGCTGTTGGAAAGTCACCACAGTGGAAGCAGTGATTGAGGCACTCTGTCAAGGGATTCTGGACTTGGATATTTTTGGAACATAAACCAAAACTGCTTCCTTCGGTGAGAAGTGTAAGGGAGATGCCTGCAGATACGTGATCTGTATCTTTGCTGTGATGCCACACTGGGACAGAGGAAACTGTCTGGAATTAGCAGTGTAATTTAATTCTCCCCTCCTACAGTCAGTGAATTCAGCTGAGTAGCTAATCTAAAAGGAAAGGAGAAAGACAGATGACTGAGCAAGGGAGGATGAGAGGCAGAGCTATCTATTCCCAGAAGGGTAGCTGGCCGAATGTGGAGCTTTTGAGAAGAAAAGGTAGGGAGAGGCAGCAGCCAGAGCAAGGAAGTGGCAGATGCACTCAAATTTAAAAGAGAAAGAGACCTTCAACCAAACCAAGAATTGGGAGATACACAGAAACAGGCAGATGAATTGAATTTGGGGGGATCAGCAGCTGGAGAAGGCTGCAGGGAAATGAATCAGAGGTGGGAACAAGTCTTTTCCCTTGTCCCTCTCTCATTCTCCCCATGATTTCCTTTCCTTCCTTAACCAGGTGTTCCACTGGGTCTAGGCAAGCTGATCGTCACGGCTGTCCAATGAAAGAGAGACGGAAGGCAAGCGCAAACGTTGCTGTTGGAGTATGTAGTACTTCAGAGATGTAAATTTCTGTTCTTTTAGGTGGAACAATCCAGAAGATCAGTGGAAGGTGCTAGCCCTATGCGCTCCCCACACCCACCGCTTGATTCAAGAAATCGCTATGGGCTCCATCCTTTAGTGGCTAGAGAACCAGCTGGTCACTCCCAACTGGTGAGTTCCACCACGTGCTCCATCTGCTATGGTGTAAGCACACAGCTGAAAGCGTGCACATATACCTGTGACATCTGTCCTTAGTCTAGAGCATTGACTGCCCTGCTTGTTCCAGATCAGGGCCTCGTCCTTCATCACTTGATGCTGATTTCCTGTTTGCAGGATTGTGCCATTAAAGAGAAATCTTGAGAAGACAGTGTTTCAGGAATGGCACATCAGAACCTAGAAAAAAATAACTTTGCTTTGTGATAAATCTGCTTTAATCTTTCCCTTTTATCTGCCTTGTCACCCAAGGTTAGGCCAGTGTCAGTACATTAAGTATTGTCAATGAAGACTGGCTGTAGGCCTGTTTACGCATATAAAACCCTGAAAGCAACGGAGGTCTTTTAGAAAACAGAGTTGAAGGGGTGCAGTAAGACTAAAGCTCATGGCAGAAGGCTGTGCTTTGGAGCTCTGGCTCAGAAGCCTCCTACTTTTTGTTAACAGGCAGAGAAGGAATGTTAATATACTCTTGAAATACAATGACACTAGAGTCTAAGGTCCAACGTCAAATATATAGTTCAGATTGAACTGGTTCTCCATTTCAGTAATGGTAATTGGTGCAGGCTGAAGAGACACTTGCAGTCCTGAATGACCTTCTCCTCTCCATCCCACACAGAGGGCACCTGGACCTGTAGTTGATTATAACGGTGGCCATCATTCCCATCAACTCCGATCCAAGGAGCCTACCTTTACCAAGTTGGTGAGTTAACTCAGCAAAAGAGGTTTTTTTACATTTTAATATTTTAACTTGGTATTCTGAACGGTATGCAAGGAAAAGGTGAAATAAAAAAGTCAGAAAAATGCTGAGTATCAAAGGAAAATAGGCATGCTTTTGTCGTGCATGCTCTCAGTGTCCATCTGCTGGAGTCACCAAAACATAGCATGCTGCTAGTTTCTGTGAGTTCCTTGCTTCAGTGCTGCACTGTGAAGAGATAGTAGCAAAAACCCTGTATTTATGGCCAACAGTTATTTTGGATGCTGCAGTTTTCAGGTGCTCAATTAGAGATGTCTAAAGGGGTCTGGCTCTTCAGAGGCAGACTAGAAAGTTTTATTTCCAGAAGGTGCCTTGAGAGTCACTCGTCAGTTCCAAATATCTTGACCTGTGCTATTTGTTTTTCTTTATGATGCTGCTCTGCACTGGAAACTATACACTGAGATTTTGTAGCTGTTTTCCTTTTCTAGACTTCCTGGCGACCAAATACAGCTCCAGGAAATATGCAACACCCTCTTCGCCTCCAACCACTTCGCAGCTCTGCTGCAGTAGGGTTGGTACCAAAGACGTCCAGCCCTAAACAGAAGCGCTGTGCACTTGAACATGATCAGCAGTTTGCCAGTGGGGTGAGGCACTATTTCCTTCTGAAAATAATATAATTTAGGGACAGCTTTATAATACTGCTTTAGTACTCAAGTTCCCAGAACTGCATACTGCAGGCAACATGCCTTCCAGATAGTTACCGGCTTTTACTTAACCTCCCCTTAATTTTCAGGATGTTATCTTACTGGTCTAATGCCTAGTTCTTGATCACAGTGAGGAAAAATGTGGTGTCTTATCTTTTATAGTATAAAATCTCTCTGCATACAAAATTTTCTCCCTCTATGTAGATTTTCTGTTATGTAGAGAGGGAGGCAGCCACCAGTTAACACCAATAACTCAATAATGTTTTCATACAATCTTAGAAGTTTTCGTCTTCATCTACAAATGCAAAGTAGCAAAAGACTTTTTTTTTTTTTTTTTTTTTTACCATTCCTCCTATTAAGTCACACTAGTGGGTTCAGAGAATGAGAGCTTTGTGGAGTAGCCAAACATGATCTTGATATGTACGCAGTTACTTTCAGGTGAGATTTGGACTTTTCTTCTGTTCTAGAAGAACATTATGTAATTGGCTTTGTGTTAGGAGTTCCATGGGACTGGAGGATTTGGGAATGGGACTGTGACCTGCTGCCACTGAGTGGCAGACACTGTATGAATAGCTCCCTTCTGCTGTGCATTTGCTGTGTATTGTAATGGTCACGAGACTTTCTCTAAGAATTTGCTGGGACTATCTATGTCTACTTAAATTACGGGTGATTTGAATGGTTTCTTTAATGCTCACTACTGGCAAAAGAGCTAAATCAGTCATAGATTATGCAGACATGATGCAGAGCTTGGATCCAGAGCACGCAACGTTCACACAATTTATTCTTTAGAGTTGTCTTGCTTTTCAGGGCCCTGGTTCTCTGCGTTTCATCCTGAAGGAGGACTAAACCTCCACTACAAATGGGGAAGAAGCATTTTGAACCACATTTTCTGTAGTTGATGCGAGATGATGTTACCATTGGAAGATTCTAGCTGCTTTGGAATTTGCTTGCCGGCTGAGAGAATGCAGCAGCACTGGGGAGTTGTGCAGTTTTCTGCCTGTGTGTGATCAGAGCTCTGCATGGTTACGAGTAGCACATGTTTACAATGTTGTATATGTCCTCTGAGGGTGACATTTTCCAGCAATCTGCTTGTTGCTTTGGAAGTTAAAAGAGAGGGTTTTAGCACAGAAATGTTTTCATGAACAAAATTGCAAGCACCGAGTTAAGGAATTCTGCTAGAAGTGTGTGTATTACTAAAAGTAAAGAGCAGTCAAACCACAGTTAGTTCAATATGCTTGGTAGCTATTTTTGCATAACCTATTTAACCTGATTAAAATGTTTTTGCAGGGGGAAAGGAGTGGGTTAAGACTTATGGATTCAATGGAATACGTGACTGGTAGATCCCCATATCAACTCCCTGTCATCAACAATGATGTGATACCAGTGCCACCTCCCCCTCTGCAAAAAGGAGACAAGAGTGTAAATGCAATGAGAAGCGGGGTGCTCAGAGGGAGACGGTTTCGTCCCACCACTGCACCAAATGACGCAGAGCAACTTTTAACAAAGGTAAGTTATCTCTGGCTGCTTCTCTGTGTTTAGGTGCGTTACGTTCCTCATTGGGGTATTTGCCTCGTGCTGAAAGATGTGTATACCTAGTTTGCATATTCACTGAATTTTTGAAAGAAAGAAAACTTATAACTATTAAAATATATAACTGACACCCATTTCTCTATGAAACATTTGGTGTTTTTTCATCAGTTGGGTGGAAAAAAGGTGCTTGAACAAAAAAAGTGTAGGAACTCTTACTTAAAGCCTTCCATTTTAGCCTATCTAATGCTGTCTCTGACCATATCTAGTACCACAGCTTCAGAGAGATACATGAAATGCCTTCAGTATATGAAAACTTCATCTGTTATGCTATATCTCCAGCCAGTTTTGACTCCTGTAAAGGAAATTGTAGGAACTCAGGACTGGGAGGGACAATATGGGTCTCTAAACATGGTCCCTGCAATTTTGGGCAATTCAGTGCAATCGATTTTCAGTTTGAAATATTTTTCTGCTCTTCTGCACGTTGCAAATTAACTTTCAAAAAACTTTCAAATTAAGCAGCTCAAGGCCTATTTTAAAAGACTGGAAGCCTCAAGTGTGTGACCACATATATGATCTTTGTGCTCACCTTTTGTTAGAGCTGGAAGCTGAATGCATTTTTTATGTATTTCCTGCTGCAGAATTCTGGAGGATCCCCTAGGCCCTCATTACGCAGCAATGCATTTGTTACCATGGTCTTTCTAGGAAAAAGTCTGCATTTGTTGCACAATGATGCTGATTACAGGGATGAAATCAAAATCTATCAGCAGCATTGTGGAGGAGAAAACCTTTGTGTCTACAAAGGCAAGCTGTTGCAAGGAGGTAAGGATAAAGAGTCAAAGAGTTCATATTGATTCTGGCAATGTCTGTCTTTTTTTTTTTTTTTTTGGCTAAAATGCTGGTGTGATGTCAAAGCAATTTCAGCTGAGCTCAGTCAAGATGTTTGCATCCAGGGATTTTTATACCATCTCTCTCCACACTAAATCTGGATCTACTCTTTCACGATTGAAAGTGAGGTTGCAAAATTACTTCTGCAAATTATGGTAGAAGGAATTTAGAAAACTGATTGAACAAAACACTGCGGCTTACGTTAATTTTGTATAAAGATGTGTGATTAATAAAGCAGTGGGAGGAGTAAACTGTCCTTAAATAGGGGTTGTCTGTTTCTGACTTGCTATGACACATCATTGCATTTTGCTTGTTTTTCCAGAAGGGAAAGTACATAGTGGGAGCCCAATTTCCATCTCTTTCACGTGAGTGTGACTCCGTCACACCAGTAAAAGCTGAACTGTGTTCTGGGAAATTGGGAAGAGGAAATGGCTGGGAGGTTTTCACTTATGAGGAAGAGTGATTCCAGAGATCATACTCCTCATTCCAGCTCGCAGAACCCCCTGTGTTTGCATTTTCACTGGATATGGGAAGATGGTGCCGAGATCCCCGCACTTCAGCCTGTCCCTGAGCTCAGGGGTGTGCTGGGGTGTGCCCGCGATCTGGTTAGGGCGCTTGCTGCAGCTGTGTCCCCGCTGTGTGGATGGTGTCCTTTGTGTGTGCCCCTGTTGTCCCGAGCCCCATTCACACCTACCAGGGAACACACTGGAGTGCAATGTGGCTTTCTCCCTGCTGTGTGTGCTTGGTTTACTTTGGAAGGATACTATGACTTGCAAGTAGTGGGAGCGTAACCCAGTCTCCCTGGCATGGAGCTAGGTAGCAGCCTCAGTGCCCTTAAGGCCTGGATACCAAACAGCGCCCTTCCCGAGCAGCCTAAAACTGCATTTTTCAGCTGCTCAGAGTTGCAGTGAGTAGAACTGTAGTAGTGCAGGCCCAGAGCCACGCATACTGCAGCTGTACTGATCCGGAGCCTGGCCGCACTCAGCGAGGTGTGGCGCTGAGGACGATGTGCGTTACGTTGCAGGAGCTCTGCCGTACTGCTGCACTGCACCATGCAGCCGCGCCAGGAGCCCTAAACATTCTGTGCTGAGTTAATTTTTCCGAGGCGGGACGCTCTGGTCTCTGTTCTGCTGTAGCAGTGAGTGGCCAAACTGACGATGTCTGAGCTTGTCACAGGGGTGTCCAGCTTGGTACTCCGGGGTTGGGAAGAGACAAGGCTGTTGTATGGGGGGAGTTAGAGTTCTGCTAACTAATTAATACAGCCGAGCACCGAAGTACCTGACCTCAGAGGGCTGGGTGCTTTGGTGGTGATGCAGATGAGATGCAACAATTGCAACAGGCTGACAGCAAAGCATAACCTTGTTCTTTGAACACTTTCCTTGCTGTGATTACAGAGTCCTTTCAGTTCGTCTCAAAGAGGCACCATGGTTTCCCATTCAGCCTCACCTTTTTTCTCAATGGGATGCAAGTGGACAGGTTGAGCTGTTGCTGTGAGTACAAACATCGTTCCAGGCTGGGAGGCAGACGTGGATACTTCAGGTTTCTTAAAGTGGAGGGAGCATCTCCTTGCTACAGGTATGGAGACGAATACACTTTGCTCACAAGGACTTAGCAGCCCAGTTTTTACAGAGCTTATCAATTGTTTCCTCTTTTTTTCATCTTTCTGGCACCCCTCAGCTCTGTTGAACCTGATCTGTTTCTCAGCGCCTCTTGAAATGTGCAGAATTGAGCTTACCCCTCAGAGTCCCACAGCCAAGGATGCCGTCGAAGCCAGCTGCTTTTGTGCTGCCTCCTCAGTCTCTCTGTGGAGTATGCGCAGCAGCGGACAGTGTTTGCACAGGAGGCGGTTAGCACTTCCAGCTGCTGAGTATGGAGGAATAGGTGCAGGGTGGAACACCTATGCCGCTTGCATGTATCTGGTCGAAGTGATAGGGAAATAAGTATCAAGAGTGCTGCTTAGTTACCTGTAGTTTTCAGGGTTTTCTTTGCGATTGTGAGAACAAGATAATTTATTTTTAAACAGCTCTGCCTCTAAGGTAGGATTCTGCTGTAATACCCCTGTCTGCAGGATAAGACAGTCCTGAATGTGAGCCATGTTTCAGAAAATGAATCTGTGCAAAAGATTCTCAGGCTTGGGCAAAAGTCAATGCTGTGAGCAACAGCTGTGGTTTGCCAAGAAGCTTTACTTTTAATAAATCTTCCTTTTGTATGATTGTTAAGTCATGCCAGACAAGTAAACTTCTGCGCACATGGGTAATTTTAAAACTTTTATGTTCTTTTCGTAAGTAATTTTTAAGAGTGGCAAGCAGTTGGAAGAAGAGAACCTCCACAGAGCCATATTCTATTTTTTTCAGATAAGGACCGAATTCTAAGAAAAAACATTCTCCTTTATTGTACCATATTTTTTCTATTCCAGTCTAACATTGAACATGATTTATGTAAATGTATTACTTAATATATTCAAAGTAGTGAAAAGCATCTGAATTCAGAATGGGTATAATGGCTATAGAGTTTAGGAAATGCTGAAATCTCAGCTTCTGATTTCTAGAAAGAGTTGAAGTGAATTTTCTGAATTAATATAGTCTCCAGAAATCGGTTAATTTCTTGCTGACTCACCCCCACTTTCTGTCCCCTTTCCCCTCTTATTCTTAGTGATATCTCTGTTTCCTGTCTCTTGTCAGTTCAGCCAACCTGGTGACTGAAAACCATCTCCATTAACCAGATTCTCCTCATAAATGACAACTATTTTCACGTCTCCTTCAGGTGAAATGCAGTTGTATTTGTTTTCTGCTTTGAGTACAACACCACATGCACGCATCAAACACCCACTCTGATTCTCAGTAAAGGTCCTGGTTGGGTTAAGGCTTTGGTTCACAAAGAGGTGATGCCGCAGTGATTTCTACACTGATGCTGTGATCCTTGCACCGAGAGTTTTCTTCTGGCCTAGGTCCAGCATTTCAGTACAGTAGAAGTGCTTCAGTATCTCAGAGGTCCCTGAAAAAAATACCAGGGACAAAAAATTAAAGGTAGGGCTATTTTCAGAAATTGTCCTGTTTACATTTTATGCCTGCGGAACTCTAAGATTTCTAGACTGAATGACTATAGGATATTTCACAGTAGTTTGTAAACAGCTAAAATATAAAGGGAATTGCAATCAAGCCTTACATAAACAAGCAGTTTTGGGGGACAAAAATATTTTAAGAGGTAGTTGTCTGTGAAGAAAATACGTTTTTCCAGAGAGATGTGTGATTAGCTAAAGTAAAAGTTTCAGTTTCATCCTTTGCTTGGAGATTTGAATCAACGTAGTACATACAGTGCGATGTCCTGACACTCATGGGTGGTGGAGGGTGGCTCTTTGTGTCTGCAGCTAACGTTAAATCAGGAGTAGGAACTTTTAAATGAGCCTCCTGACTATAAGGCAGAGAGGCTGTCACTCCATTTTATACAAGAAGAGTAGTCTCAACAAGGCATTCAAAATGCTTTGTTTTCCAACTGTTTTGGTTTCTGTTAGGTAAGAAAAACAGAACAGAAACTGGAAATAATTCCATTTCAATCTCTCTCTTCCTCCACAGTTATCAAACCCAGCAGACAAATAAAAAAAAAAGGTCTGGCCACAAAACCTGAATTATCACTTTACTGGGTGTTACAGCAGGATCTGGATCCAGCACACATCTGGCTTGGAGCTTGTCTGCCTTTGTCAGTGGTTAAGCATGATCTTCACAGATCATGCTTGGTGTAGCTTGAAATTAATGGACACTTATGTTAATTTTGATTTTAATCTGTTTATACTTCAATTGTCACCTTTAAGTGCGGACAGTGTTTCTCTCCTTCAAGGAGGAGCTGCATCTGTGTTAGTGGAGCTCTTGAGGGTTTCAGGGTGCTTCTCCAAGTCAGTCATTATCAGTAACCTTGTTGTCTGAGTGGCAATGCAGAGGCAGATAGGTACCTGCTTTCACTGCTGATAATGAGCTGAATAGATCACTGTGTCTACTGCCCTTCCATCGTTTCCAGAAAGAAAAATGTGATCCTTTCCAATTCTCCTTGTTATTTTATAGGTGCATTATTGCAATGGGTCTGGACAAAAAGCCATCCCCTCCCAAAAGAAAGATGGAGGAGGACCATGAGGAAAAGCACGTGGTTTCCTGGGGAGATGGAGCACGCAGTGAGCCAAGTAAAAGCAGTGTTGAGCACAAATCAAGCAAAGATTCAGTGTTAGTCATCTTACCAGGTCATGAAACAAGTGTGGAAACTATTGAGGACAAAATGGAGACCGTACAGGAGTACAGAAAAGAAGAAAGGAAAAAACTATCTGATCCTGAGAGTGAAGATAGTCAGGAAGACACCAATAAAAATGGTACAGTATTCTAAAACAGGAGCAGAGGATGAAAAATGGGAGAGGATGGTTCTGGAGAAGGTGTGGGATTGTGGGCCTACAACTTCTTGGGGCATCCTCTCTTAGGACACCTCATGTGTGAGAAATGTAGTGATGCCTGTGTCTGGGCAGTGAAATCCGTGGGGCTCCTTTTGACCAAGCAACAGGATGAGAGTGTTTTGCAAGAGCCAAGAAAGTGAGTAATGAAGGTCTGAGAGGCTGAAACAGGAGCCTGAGGTAGATGGAAAAGCAGGAGGAAAGTGGGCACAGTGGAGGGACAACAGTGAAGGAGAATGGCAGCAGATGGAGGACAAGTAGAGCAAAAGGAAGAAATGGGACTGGGTGTGGGTAGGGAGACAGTGAGTCTGAGGTGAGCTCCTAAGGGAGACAGGACATCAGCATCAGGTGAATGGAGAGAAGACGGGGGGCCATAGGGGCCGGAGGTGGAAAGGCTTCCTGCTGCCTGATTCAAGATGGATGGGAGAGAGGGAGGGAGGGAGGAACTGTGGAGGGGAAGAGGCTGAATCTGGGCGCAGAAGGGGAGGGAAAGTGGGAAGAGCACATAGCAGCAAAATGTCAGCAAGATGTAGCACCAGCTGAAATATTTTGGTCTCTTCTCTTGTCCTTTGGCAGTGGGAGGGCAGTGCTTTGCTCACCTAAGGCTTTTTCCAGTCCCTGCTCCACCACACTGCCCTGGGCACCTGACACCTGCCCAAACCTCCAGCTTCCTCACTTGTCTGAGCATGTTCCCTCTGCTCTAGGTCTACCAGCTCACCTTTCTTGCCTTCTCTGCTCCAACCCCACTGGGACCATCATCCTTTCTCTTTACCGAATGCTCCCGTTGCCTGTTGTAACTGGCTGACCTTGCCCCTTTTGCTTGAGTCCTGTCTTGTTTCTGTTGACAGAGATTTAAAAAGAAAGACCGGAGAGAGGCTCCCTTGTTGAAAGTTTGCCCAAGGGGTGTTTCTTGTGGCAGGCAAATACAGTATTTGTGGTATAATAATGATGCGCGGCAGCTCCGGCTGCACAGTCAGAATGTGCCGTTTCCCCAGGGCCACCTAAGGCTGGTCCCTCTGGCCATCGGGCTGCTTACGGCCCTGGCTGCCCCTGCAGGAAGAGGCGGTGAGCTCACTCCGTGCCTTCACTCGCTCCTTACTGTAAAGTCTTCAGAGTAAGTCGAATTTAGAGAGGAATTTTAATTCCTACTTCCTATTCCCATTTTTACCTTAATAATTCCGCAGTGCTACTCCTCCGCTCGTTGTTAGTCCCTGTGGATGTGTGCTTGTGATTAATCAAGCCTTTTTCCTTCAGGAGGTGGGCACCTTTCTGACAGTTACCTGAGGAGGCCTCACTTCCAACAGTGCAGTTGGAATCTCAATTGATTTTTAATACGGCAAATAAATATATTCCCTTAATTCTCATTGTCTGGGTAATTGTTTATTTGCCTAATTGGTTCTGCATCAGGTACTCTTTGTTGCTGTCCTTGGCATTCTGTCACTTCAGTACTTTAAAAGCACTGATGGAAAGAAAAAGAGGTGAGCAATAAAATCTGAAAGGTGAGAAATTGTGGCCACAAGGGACGGCTAGGGTGTCAGCAGTGACAGCTCTCCCTCACCGTTCGGGTGGGTTGCCTCTCTGCTGCGTGCACAGTGAGCTGGTGGTAGCAGTGGAATTGCTGCGTTTGAAATGGAGATCACCGACATCGCCAGGGGTTCTGTGCCTGGGGTTTGAAATAGCGCAGCCTTGGCTAGATAGGGAAGGATTCCTTAATGCATATGCATGAAGGCAGTCTTTACCTGTCGATCTGAGCAAAGTTATCTATCAAATGTTACAGCTTGTCAGGCTGGTAGCCTGGGATGAAATCCAGCCCATGTTGATGTAAAAAAGGTAGTTCTGCTGTGAGCTTCATTTGTAGTAGGATTTCACCTGGGACCCAAAGGAGCATATTAGAACAGTGCGGTAACAGAATGTTCCTCTGCAGCACCCTTTGGCTGGATTTAATGAATTCATTTAGTTTGTAAGCCACTTCTTTTCTAATTAGCCATGTCAATCCACATTTATCTTGCTTTGTGCTACAATATATTACCTTTCTCCAGCTTTCTCTGTTGCTTCTATTTTTTTTCATCGCAGCAAGTTTCTCTCCTGTAATAAGAGACTGTCATGCATTTTATTTCTGAGTTTGCCCAGCTCTTAATTTTTCTAGTCCTTTTAGTGTCTGATGATTTTGTTTGTTTTGTTTTTAATGTATTAATCATACTTGATGCATGATTCAGTAGCTTTACTGCATTTTTGCTACTCTATCTATGAAGAACATGATGCTTCTTTATGGTAATGTGCTCTTATGATTCCCATTTGTGGTCTTAGATTCTCTCATGGCTTTAAAAAGACTGAGCAAATGCAAAGGCGAAAGGAGATTCAGGAAGTTAACCTCTGTCTGCTTAAAAAGAACTTTATTAGTTGTGAATTCTGTTTTCCTGTCTCACGTATGATTCTTTTATTTTAGAGTATGATGAAGATTTTGAAGCAGATGAAGAAATTAATGAAGAGGGACAAACTGGTGATCAAATGAATGGAATGTCAAAGTCATCCTCAGGTGATAAAAAACATCATTTAGACTATGAAAAGGAGAGTAAAACCTCATCACAGAAGGCACTGCAGGCCTCTGATAGTGAGAAAGATGAAAGTGATGGATATTCTGACAGTGACTCTGAGGATCATGGACAAGGTTAGTTTTTTCCCTATTGAGGCTTAGAGAACTTGACCTGATGCATGTTTTACATTTTGTGCATGTCCAGTACGTATGTTGAGTCTGCGTAGGAAACGCCACACAATTCCTACTGAATTGGTAAAAGATAGCTATTTTGCCTGTTATTAATTCTACCACCCGTCACTGAAATACAGCCAAACCCACTGGCAGTGTAAGTGTGTGCCAGCTCACAGCAGACTTTGCTGAACTATTTAGTTGCAGAAACGGAGATGGAGCCAGTCAGCAATTTAGCTCTAAATACACGGGTGGATCCTCACTCGGTGTCAGTGCTCACTGACAGCCGAGCAGCTACGACCACTTACACCTGCTGAGGATAGGTGCCTTTATCCGAGAAGTCACCAGGAAACCCAACGTACCGCCTTGTCTTTCAGAAGTGCTATCTTTAATGGCCCTGGATAATCCAAACCTCAGCTCTGTCCTTTGGTACCTCACCAAGTCTGGCTGGCTGAGGGACAAACGCCGTCGGCTCAGCTGCCCGTTCCAGCTGCAGCAGTTGGGCAGTTTGTGAGGGTCTTCACTCGCGTCTGGCCATGAATGAGGAAGGCTCAGAGTCAGTAAGATGGCCTGTGTTTCTTGGTCCAAACGTAGGTACAGGAGTGTGCAGTGAAGTGTCCAAGACTATTATTATTGTTAAATCAGAAAGATTGAACTATTCTGGAATAAGTTTTTATAGAATAAGAAACGTTTGCTGTCATTCAGTTTTTTGGATCAAGCACTTGTAATGTCTGGTGTTTTAACGACTGGCCTCTATGCAGTCCAAGCCATGCATTTCCATACGTAATCCCACAGAAAACTTGCAGGCAATTTTGCATTTATTAGACAAACGATAAAATTCCCTTCACCACATGGTGAATAAGTCAGAAGTGAACTGCCTCTTCCTTGTGGCACAGGGTTTTATTTCTCTCTTAACATCTGTCTTCTATGGCTTTGTTAGATCCTGAGCTGACTTATGTGCCTCTCGCTTGTCATAATGCACCAGGATTTCTCCATTTACTGCTATTTTAAAGATCCAGTCTTTTTATAGAAAGTATAAAATCCACCAGAAATTCAAATCAGCTTTGAAACATCCTTACTTCTAAAATCATTGTAGTGATCAAAAAGGATCTTAATTTTTGTTTTCTCATGATAATCAGGAATACCTTGTGATTCATGAATAATCAGTACAATTAAGCATTCTTTTCTGCTTGTTAGTATATGGCATTACAAACAGTTTTGTGACTTTAACCAGCTGCTTCTCAAGCTCTAGCAGTGTGTGATGATCAGGTCAAAGTGTGTGGAAGCAGAGATGTGTTTAGGTGGAAGGGAACAGGTAACTGTAAGGGCCTTTCATGGCTACCTGTACATTAAGGCCTACGTTACGGGCCACCCTTATTCATCTTTGTTTATACTGGGATGTAATAGTGCTGCACGCACTAATTCAATGCAAATTTTTCTGTGGTGAGGAGAAAAGGCTGTTGGGAAGCCACCAAGTCTTGAAATATGGGCATTTAACATCAGCAAACTAGTAGCGTAAAACAGCTAGTCATCTTGGCAGGGGTTCCTTGCCCATCAGCGGGCAGGCACTGCTAATGTTTTCCAGTTTGTATTTGTCATGGCTTGCTTTGTTCTCCTTCACTGCAGTAGCTCAGGACATGCGTTTAAATCATTTACATTCTCTGTGGTTTTAAACAGGAAAGTTTAATCTTCTTTCTTAGCAGCCTGGCTTGCTGCTTCTGTCTTTACATCAGCACGCTAACACAGCGCCCGTCAGTTATTGCTTGCATCCCATGTGGCAGTCGGCAGCGGACCATGGGTGTCCGGCGCTCAGCAGCATTCCCTCTGTGGAAGTGAGGAAAGCTGTTTTCAAGGGTGTGTCTTGAGAATCTCATGTCTTGGAATCAGTTTTCCCTCACGTGAGCTCTGACTTAACCTTTCCACTGTGACTTCTGGAGAAAAGAGGCAGAGGAGCTGGCTTTACTTCGCTGTCCCTGTTGTATTTGCTGAGGATGTAAGGAAGAGACAGGTAATATTCTAATTTGGCATTTGGTATTTTAGTGTAAGGAGAGGTTATTGGATGGGGACCTAGAGGGGCTTCTGGAAGTCTAAATACGTAAGTACTGTAAATAATGGAAGAGGCATGGCTTAGGAGCTAGGGGTAGCGGTGGAAAAGCCTTTTCCATGATGGCTGGTTGTATTGTGAATGCATCTGTCTGTGCTCTGAGCTCGGTTTGACTGCTCCTGGTGGGTGTGAACGACTGCCGACAAGAGGAGCAGTGCTTCTGACATTTATCTTCTTGGGGCAGGAAGCCTGAAGGGGTTCTGCAGTCCTCATTTGCCACTAGTAAACGGTGGACTGTAACATTAGATAAGGATGTTTTAAGGTTACTGCTAGCTTTGAGTGACATTTCAGATCACTGGATTTCTAGGGACTTTGTGTTTAAGCTTGAAGGTCAAGATGATCTTTTTGTTCTGGCTGTAGTGATTAATCTTCAAAGAGATTTCTACGCTCAGGGTGGTAGAAGTATTCAGAAACCAGTTGGTGTCTGCTCCTTGGCGCTTGCGCAGAATGTGTTTGCAAACAGTAAACAGTGGAACCCAAACTGGTGCAGAGTATTTCCTTCCGTATGAGCAGGAAATTTGTTGTAGGAAAGGTTTCTCATCTTCCAAATGTCTATTTACTGTTTACCTGATGGCATTGGAGTCCTGATCTAGTTTCATCCGGATTTGGTTTTGATACTTTAAAGAAAATGGTAACTTTTTTGCATTATTTTTGTTAACTGCTTTAGGCATTGATACATTGAACACAAAATGCCTGTGATTCATTCCTGTTTCCTGTTTGTTGATTTTTGATATTTTCCCCTTTGTAATGAAATCTTTCTACTTTTTTGCCCACCACTGAACAGAAGAGGTGGAGAGAGGGGATGAAAAAAAAGTGGGTTTTTCCCAACAGAGAAACTCCAAAACAGGAGTAGTTTACATATTTTAGGGAAGTTTTATCTTCCATATTTGAGTTTTTTTTTTTTAAAAAAAGCAGTCCTGTGAAGTTTTTATAATACATTGCAGATGAAAAAGATAATTTAAAATATTATGAAAAGCTGGAAGGAGCCTTCCTGAGATCCACAGAGGAAGAAGAGGCATGGAGGCTGCTGGAAGACTGTGGCTGCAGGAAGAAATAATGTGGCATAAATTGGCTCATGTGGCTCTGAGAATAGCTGTTCAGGGGCAGACTGTGGGTCCAAATTCTACCGCTGGCCTTTGGCCAGCAGCAGATGCCCAGGAAAAGTACAAGAAAAGGGCGAGAACACTGTGCTGCTTCCCCACCGTGTCTTCCCACCCCTGTAGTGAGCGGGGTGTCAAGGGTGGTCCCTTTTACTTATTAGGCCTAACCAGATTTTTCTTCCTTAACTAATTTCTTCTTGAACCCATGTGATCTTTGGACACCAGCAATGCCATGTACCAGTAAGCTCTACTGTTCAGCTAAATGTTAGATGAAGAATTATTGTTGTTTTTTTTTCTCAAATGTTCCATTTATGAATTTCATATGATGGTCCCTGTATGTTTTTTAGAGGAGACAGTGAACTGCATCTGCAGTTCAACTTCAGTGGTTTACACGTGCTTTTGGAGATCTTTATCATATTCACTGAGGTAACAGGAATGTGCTAAAGGACTGTTGCTGTGGTTGAAATCTTTTATCAAATGGAGCTCAAGAAACTATTCTAAAACCTGTCTGAGTCATATTTAGAGGTGCTTTTGGAGTGTGACTGATGGAGCTAATCTGGTTAATTTCCATTATCAGAAAAAAATATGTTAAATGGGTTTGATTTTAACACTTTGATACATCTGAGCAATGTTCTTCTATTACACTTATTGGAATTTTGTCAGGTGATGTAGTTCAGAGATTGATATCAGATGAGCATCTGTCCCTCTGTGCATAGCAAAGGGAACTAGTGGCCAATCAATACAGATGTTTTAGTGGCAAATACTAAACCAAAATTATGTTTGCTGTTTCTAGATGGGCAGCCTGCGCAGTCTGTCTCATCCGCCAGTACTCAGTGTAGCAGCGAAGATGACTCTCATGCTGAAGCGATGGAGGACAATGTTAAGGGCAAAAAGGAGTATGATATTGAAAGGACATCTGATAACGCAGCACATGCACAATATGGAAATGAGAATGGGGAGAATAAACTGCTCAGAATGGAGGAAAATCAGGAAACTTTTTCACTAGAAAAGGAAGGAATAGATGAAAGAGAAAAGGCAAAACCAGAAAATCTAACAGCAAGGGAAAATACTGGAATTTTTCATGAAAATGTAATGGCAATAGAGCATCAAAGTTGTGAAGTTAATGGGGAACTCAAACAGGCTGAGTCAGTAGAACGTAACGCCAGGGAAGATGGAGAGAAGATTGCAGGTACCAGGAGGGGTGATGGAGAGGAAAGTCGTCTAGGGCCTTTGGAAAGCAGTGCGAAGGAAGTGGAGGAAAGCAATGAAGAGTCTCCTCTGAGTGATGAAGGAGGGGGTGAGTACAAACTGAGAATTTGCTGAGTCTGGGCGAATCACTACTGGTGGTGTGACAGGATCTGTCAGAAGTATGGAAATAGCTGGGATGGGCTCCTGCTGTGCGTTTTCTGATCTTGCTGTGCTCTTTGTGACAAGGAGACATTGCTGATCCCAAGAGAGTGAATTACTGTAAGCAATATTTGTCATCCTTCCCTGGGCTCTGTGTTTTGATAGACTATCAGTTCCCTTTTGGCAAATGCTGCACAGGCAGTAAACTGCGCAGAATGGGAACTGCCAGCTAGTCAGACTTCAGGCCTGTAATCGGGTCAAAGTGAAATACATGCACCATGCCTAGCAAAGCCCTTGGTATTTCAGCAAGCCGGAGAACGTGCTGCCTGTATCTCTGCGTGAGGCGGCCAAGGGATGTCCTGGAGCGGAAAGCTTCTTGTCTTCAAGAGACAAGAGTCTCTTGCAGAGCTGAAACATCAGGATGATTCAAGCAGGTTGTGCACTGTTGCGCAGAGCCCTTTGTCAAGATCTTGGGTCCCAGGAGGAACCTTATAAATGCTCTCCTGGGACCTTCCCTGCTCAACTTCCCTTGCAGAGCAGATCTTACTGCTTCACCTGGGTGAAATGTGACAGCAAGGAAAAAGGTGTCGTGCTAAGCAAGTGCCTTTTGTACTGTAGACCAAAATGGTCTTTTAAAAGTTTTCTCACGTTTCTGTTCAGAGCTGTGTGGGTGCAGGGTACTGATGGGGTGAGAAGGATGGGTGTAAGCATAAAGTAGGAGGAACCAGAGGAGGAAGAAGAAGAAAAAAATAAAAACAAATTTTTTTTTTAAAAAAAGAAAAATAATGCGTACGAGGGCAAGTAGAAAGACAGGATCAATAGTGCAGAAGAAAACACTGTCATTTTCTAAAGAACAGGCACCTGCCACGTTTGTACAAAACAGCAGTGCAGCAGCACAGCCTGCTGGGGGTACCTGCCCAGGGACAGACCCTGGAACACCGAATTCAATGAGGGCATTGCTGTTAAATTCCCAGGGGGCAGGAATTGTCCCTGTATTATTCCCCTGGTGTAAGTACAGAACTCATGGGAAGCGATTACCCATTGTACTTGAACAGCTGAGTATTCTTCTTCCTGTGTGTGCATTTTTACGTGAGCAATTTACCACCTATTCCTGAATTTTTGAATGTGACTGTCAAGCTTATAGCTATTTCATACACACACCTGAGCTCCCTGTCAGGCAGGTTAGGCAGGGAGGGAGAAGTGGGCAGGGCAGGCAGGACTGTCAGAGTTGAAAGCTGGTCATGCATCAATATTTTTCCTTAAATTAGTTGTGTCAGATGCCAGAATGGTGGCACTAGAAACATGGTCAGAGCACAGGTGCGTGATGAGAAGCAGCGCAGCAAGTTTTCTTCTCATCACCATGCTGATGTCCCTTCGTTGCTTGGGAAAGACAGCATCTTTAATAATAACCCTGTAAAACTGCCTCAACACTAACACAGTTCTCAATGAAACTAATGTTTTGATTATTTCTTAATAGCACCAGATGGAGCTTTCTTGGCAGAAGGAACAAGAACACTTGACGTGCAGAAGGCAGCAGAACAAGTGGTACAAGAAGGGCAGATGGTAGGGGAGAGACAAGCACTTGAGGAGGAAGATTTTGTTGCTGAGGGAGGAGACGTTCTCACTGAAGAGGCAGGAGAAGAAATGGCACTGGCCGGAGATTTGCTCTCCATGGAAGACACAGTGGCTGTGCTGCAGGCAGAGGGTCAGCTTGTGGTGGAGGAATCCGCACCTGAGGAAAGCACCATGGCAGAAGAAGATCCCAAAGGAAAGGGGACAGGGAAGGGAACAGAGTCTGGTGCAGAGGTGGCACCTGGGGAGCAGGACGGTCTGACGGAGAGGGCAGAGAGCGAGACAGCACTGGGAGAGCAGGCACCTGGGGGAGAGGAGCTGGCAGGGGCACTGCTGGGCAAGGAGGCAGATGGAGCAGTGTCCGAGGGAGAGGAGGTGGCCAGGGAGGTCTCTGAGGGAGAAGAGGCTGTGGAGGAGGCCTCCGAGGCAAAGGAGGCTGTGGGAGCGACAGGGCCTCTGGTGAAGGAGGTGGTGGGTGAGACGGTGTCTGAGGCAGAGGAGGCCATGGAGGAGGGAGGTTTTGGAGGGAAGGGCATTGTGGTGGGTGCTGTGTCTGAAGGAGAGGAGGCTGTGGAGGATGCCAGCTTGGCAGAAGAAGAGTTTGCCGGGGTAGTTGGCCCTGAAGGAGAAGAATCTGTGGAGGAAGCCATTTCTGAAGGGGAGGAGGCTGTGGAGAAGCCCGGGGCTCTGCTGGAAACATCAGGGGATATGAATGTTTGCACAGGAGAAGCAATGCCTGGAGGAGAAGACTTTGTAAAGCCAAACGAGTTTTCCCAGCTGAAAGCATCAGGGGAAGAGTGGATGGAGACGGGAAAAGCTGCCATAGGAGCAGCGACATCTGAGACTGGCAAGGCATCAGATGTAGAAGGGAGCTCTCTCCTGAGAGCAGAGGATGCAGTGGAGTCGTCTGTGGAGCCTGGCAAAGGTCCCGTATTGAGAGTAGCACCTGGGTTAGAGGCACTGGTGGATGCTGGAGGGGATGCCGTAAGTGAAAGGTCATCTCAGTTGGAGGAGACCACAACAGCGGAGGAGGAGGAGGGCTCAGCAGAAGCACTTTTGAGTGGAAACCTATCTTTAGGCAGCAAGACAGAGAGTGCAATGGAAGAAAAACCTGATGGAGGGGTGATGGGAGCATCTGCGGAGACAGCCAGAGCAGCGTCAGGAGGTGGAGAAGAGGCCATGGGCGGAGCAGCAGGTCCAGGGGAGCTGGCAGCTGGGGTGGAGGGATGGCTGGTGTGTGCTGCAGCGAGAGGGAAGGAGAGGCCTCCCGACGAGGGGGTGGTGGGTGCAGCAGCGCTGCCTGCCCCGGGGCTGTCTGTGGGCAGGGCGGGGGAGGCAGGGGTGGTG